CAGGTGTATGTTTGTCTGTTGCAGGTGTATGTTTGTCTGTTGTACGGATCAAATGAACGACCCAGATGCATTTTGAGCATTTGATGATCTTCCCATTCAATGTTGTATACCATGTGATATTGCCACCTCAGCAGAAGATATATCCCCGGGAAGCATGGGGACTGCTGACTTGCACTCTCGTCTCGAGCATTCTGTTTCTGTGAAACAAAGCTCTCTCATTTCTGGTTCCTGGGCTTTGCTTTGGAGAGGTTAGGGTTTTCCTGTTCGTGGGAGCGTTCCTCTAATGTTGACCCAGATGTTCTCCTCCTTCTTTGCTAACTCCGGTAACTCCAACGGAGATAAAGACCTGCGGAAGTTCATGAGAACGGAGAGTATATATCTGGATCCTCTAAGGTAAAGTTTCCAGCTTTTTCTTCTGCTATTTGGAAAGTGATGATTAATTTGCTTTGCATTATGCAATGTCAACAGATATGGCTGCTCAATTCATTTCTTTGCTTTTTAACATAAAATAAAAAATTAATTTATATTTTTGGTAAGTACATACAAGATGTATAGCTCCCTCCCTTGTGTCTCAATGTTCCAACTTCAAATCTCTAACTTGGAGTCTCAATTGATGTACTTTATCATTAGCATCCTTCACATTATTTTGTGAATAGTGTAGAAACTAGTGAAAGACTACTTTTTTTTTTTTCTTTCTTATTATTTCTACATATTGTCCTCATACTTAGCTCCTATCTTCAGACACACTTTATCCTAATAGTATGGTTCTTATCAAGGGCAAACAAACTAAGTGTTGCACAAAAGAAAGGATAATTAGAGAGTCTGTATCCCAAGTGAATACGGAAAAGCTTTTTGTTCTTGTTCCTCTTTGGGCTTTACTCTTGGTTGGGAAAGGGGAAATCCAAGATTTAAGCTCTGTCCAAATGTTAATGTTCAAAAACTATATTGCTGTCACATATTTAAAGGGTTGCCACTTTTGAGGTCAAAAATAGCTAATGCTGTTCAATTTATCATGGTTGGTTTTGTTTTATTGGTTTCTTTGCTAATACTTTTACCGTCTGGATTGACTAAAGAAGATAAAGTAATGAAATCTTCTATTTATGGGAGCACACGGGAAAGAGAGACAGAGTGATAATAACACATAGAATAAGTAACCAATACTATTCTTTATCAGCAGGAAATTCTAAAATAGTTTGGGATTAAAAATAGCATATGAGGAAATAACAGAGTGCTTCATGGTAGGAGAGTTCTTAACGTATATTAGACAGTGATTCTAGTGGATATTCATACATAGATGTAAATTGCAGTTTTTATGGGTTATTATTTTCTAAGCTTATGATATATTTGGCTATTTATCTAACAGCAATATGCTTCAAACGTAAAAGTTACTTGTAACTTAATTTTTTGGCAGAAATTTACTGAGCAACTGTCAATCTACCAAGAGCAGGAGCCAGATATGATCAATTCTCCAATGATTTGCCTATAAGCTGCTTTCCCAAACAGTGAAGAGTGTTTATTAACTTTCCTTTCATATTGTTACTCAGGATTTTGCAAGTAAATCAAGTAGCATTAGAAATAGGCAAGATAGCTAGCCTAAATCTCTTTGAATTTAATGTGGGTGAAAACCATGAGCAAGGAAGAGAAGTTGAGATTTGGTTAATGACAACGGATACTAACTTTTTCATTATCAATAAAATTTGAATTAGTCAGAATAAAAATTTCAGAGGATAAAATGAGAATTAGCAAAGGATGCATTAGCTGTACCTCTAATATTAACCCTTTGTTTACTGCGACTATAGAAAGCCTGCAGAACTTACTCAGTTAACTATATTAAACTTGGGCTGAGGTTATTGCCATTATAATTTTTGTTAAGGTCACCAATTTAACTATAATTTTATCAGTTTATAGTTTTTTTCTTAATATGATATTTGACAATATATGTTCATAAACTGATTTCAATTTGTTAAACAATAAGTATTAATTTTTTTTATCAGTTATTAGCTGTTTTTAACAGTGATAAAAATTTGATTATTTTTGGTGGCCTTAACAAAAGTTATGTTGGCCATAACTGTTGCACTAAATCTGGACCCACTGTCTGTTTTTGGTGCATTAATGAAGATTTTTTTTTTTGTCAAGAGAAAATCAGCATATTTGGGAAATGACGCTCTTATCCTTGTGGAGCTGGGATTTGCTTAATTCTGTGGATTATAAATCTTCTTTCAAGAATAATCTGTATCACATCTATCTACCTATGCCAGCCTTGTTCTATTGATTATTATCCTTTTCACTTTCTTTAGCATTTTTCTTCTTAGGAGCATCCTTGTTGGGGGGGAAAAATGGATTTTCTTTTCCATTAACTTGTTCTTTGTTCATACTTATTTCGGTTTCTGTGACTCCACCTTTCCTTTTCTTTATCATTATGAGGACTTATTTCATTTTATTTTAATGAGAAACCACTCTGTTGTCCTTTTCCTTGAGGAATCAAATATTTTTAGATTGCTAAGTTAGTCTCATCATTCTGCTTGAAATATTGCTGATCAACCATGAGTTTCATTTCTAGAACATTTGTGCCTATCAGAGTCAGAGAAGTATTGCGTGGTGCTGCAACAGACAAGCAACTAGTTTGTCTTTGTTGTTTAATCTTTATTAATTCTTCTGTTCTGTTAACATTTTCTTGTGTCATCCTTGAGTTCTTAGGCTGTCTTAAACGGTGATATCAATCAACTCATTTGAGTTCCCCGTTCTCCTAGTTCTCCCGAGGCCTTTTCTGTTCTTTTTCCTTTATGAATTGGTTATAAATTCCTTATTTACTAAAATATTTCTATGTGCTGCTTTTTCTGTGGGCATTCTAGTTGACAAAAGGGGCATTGTGTTGGTGAGTGTTTCTAGGTTTATGTTCTGAATCATTTTTCAGAATGGAAGATTCTCAAGAGAGTCTGTCACCTTCCTCCTCTTTGTCACTATCCTCGACCTTCTCCTCTTCATCTAATCCACAACCATCATCACCTTCCTCTTCATTTTCTTCATCCTCTTGCTTATCATCTCCACTTAACCCATACCCATTATTAATTGATGCCGAACTCTGGATGATGGCTGAGAAAAGGACCCTAGAGATGTTAAGGATTATTCAACCTGCTTTAGTGTCAGAGGAAAAGAGGAAAAGTATTATCAATAATGTTCAGATGCTAATCAAAGATTATTTTGGAATTGAGGTAACAAAATCTCTATTTGCCCTTGAAAAACAGTTGAATTTTCCACCCCTTTGATAATTTGAGCCCTTGAAATACAACATCCTGTTTTCTTTTGTTCTCTTTCTTTTTCACCCTTTTCTGCATTAAAGACAGATTTGTTCTATAAATTGATGATTCTTGCTTTATGTTATATGCATGTTGGGGATCTGCTTCTACCTTCTCAATATGTGTGAATGTCATAAGAGGCTGTTTACATCCTATGAAAGTTTATTGCCAAATTTTTCTTTCAAAGCACTACTCCAGTTCATTTCAGGAAAGATGATCCTTCATGTTAGCATCAAAACTGCAATCATTACTCATGTGCAACTACAATCATTTATTAAGTTCTTATATAGCTGCTTTATCCCTTGTGCTTCATACATGGCTGCAATACCTGTGACCGTGTGAGATCTATTTGGTAAATTAGGTTCCTTTTCTTTAGTAAGCTGTAAGGACACATGTTCCATTTACCTAAGAGCAGGGTAGCTAGCAATTTGCTTAGTTTCTTTTCAATTTTAAGGAGAACACAAAAGGCATAACGCATACTTCCTGGCTTCCTGCTATATCCTAGTGTTGCAAGAATCTAGAAAGAAGATTACAATGACAATTTAATTGTTGCATGTAATTTTACTACGAAATTTGGATTGTGTTCCCTATCAAGTAAAACTAAGTAGCAGTGAATCTGCTAATAGTCTTTGCAATTAGATGGACCAGTTTCTTAGAGCATTTGATCGAGTGTGCCAACAAATATTAGTTGAAGTTTTGATTGTTTATTTCCATTTTGATGGATGATTTCTTATTAACCGAAGTATAATTTGTATGGTTTCTATGTTGACAAATAGAGCCTAGTGTGTGCCAATTTAGAGGAGTGCTTGAAAACAAGGAGGAGCTTATGAACAATGTTATGTTTCAAAATTTCTATAGATTTTGAAGCTTTTTTTTTTTTTTTCAACTTATTTTAAGTAAGAAGTTTGATTCTTTGACACGTTTATGCATCCTCCAAGTGCTCTTCACTAGTATTTTGCTCACTCTGTTGATGCATCCACCAGGCATTCTTTACTAGTGTTTACTCACATTTTAGGAACAGGCAGATATACAAGTTTTCTTTTTATTATTACTAGAGATAGCTCATCTTGCACACAAGTGCTTCACATTTGTTTTAAATTCAATCCTAGCCTTTTATCTTTATCTGTCCCTACGAATGGCTGAGATGTATTGAACAATTTAAATGAAGAGAGTTATATTTAAAAAAATTGAGTAAAAAGTGCATAAATCTTAGCCATTCATAGTGGTGAGATGAATGGTTAGGATTTTGTGTAAATAATAATACTTTGATGTAAAAAATGAAGCACCAGTCATTCCTGTTTGCAGATAGATTTGTATCATTCTTAACAGAGCTCTGGACTTTACCATGCACTTTCTTACAGGTTTTCCCATTTGGCTCTGTACCATTGAAAACATATCTTCCTGACGGGGATATTGATTTGACTGCCCTCAGTCATCAAAACCTTGAGGGGGATCTGGCAAGAGATCTCTGCAGTATCCTACAAGATGACAAGCATGACTCTACCTTTTTAGTACAAGATGTTCAATATATTCCTGCACAGGTTTAGCTCTTCCAACCTTGATATTCTTCTGTTTACTTAAGAGATGACTTGATAATATACCTGACATGTACTTGTAATTTTTTAATTAAATAAATAATGGTTAGTGAAACAAATAAAGCCTTAAGTTTCCCACTATTGATTGCTTTCATTTTTGGATTTTGAATTGCAGGTTAAAATTGTGAAATGCACTGTGAATAATATACCTGTGGACATTTCTTTCAATCAAATGGCAGGTCTGTCTGCTCTATGCTTTCTGGAGAAGGTATCATCTGATCCTCCCTGGGTTTGAGAATTTGATAAATAGTTTCTTGACCATACATCACATTAGACTGTTGCATCTACAATGTAAATTTAAACCTAAATTTTGTGACACACCCCGAGTATCTTAGGTTGAAGGGCAGCATACGGTTATTAAAACCACAATGAAAAACAGTTCTGACCATTTTATGGCAGAAGCAGACTTAGCCTTTTTCATTCTCTATCTCTATTTCTATCTTTTAGCTCTTATATTGTCAAAAAGGAGGAGCTGTATCTGTAGGTTTATTGGCTATTTTGCACTATGGTTCTGCACTTTTTAGTTTGAGCCTTGCTTGGGGTCATATATTGAGTATGTGATTGCAGTTAGAGAACCATATTCCCTGTTCCCTTCCCCTTTGCTTCAGTGTCGAGTAAATTGTCGAGGAATCAGAACTAAAAGCTTTTTGTGATATTTGGTGATGTCCAACCTGCATATATAGCCAGAACAAACTCCAAATTAAACTGATGCGATCACCATCAATAGAGCAAAATGAAAATGCAACAGAATCTATGCACATTTGACCTTGCTAGCATTTTTTTTTTTTTTTGTTTTTTCAGGTTGACCAACTTATTGGGAAAGATCATCTTTTTAAACATAGTATCATCTTGATCAAAGCTTGGTGCTATTATGAGAGCAGAATTCTTGGTGGACACCATGGTTTGATATCCACATATGCATTAGAAATAATGGTCTTGCACATCATAAACATCTTCCATTTATCATTATGTGGTCCTTTAGCAGTAAGTACATTTTGGTTTTGCACCTCCTTTGCATTTGCAAAAACATGAATTGGTGAGGCCCTCAATATCCCATTTACAGGTACTATATAAGTTTTTGGACTACTATAGCATATTTGATTGGGACAATTATTGTGTCAGTATAAATGGTCCAGTTGCTTTATCTTCTCTTCCAGAAAATTTTGGTAAGCAGTTAACAATTTTGGGCATATATGATGAAAATTAGTCACCTGTATACTTGTCATCCTTCATTTTGTGCCCTTTGCAGAAGAGACTCTAGAAAATGATGGTGAGGACCTTCTACTCAGTCAGGAGTTTCTGAGGCACTGCAGGGAGACATTCACAGATCCCATACAGGCTCGTGAAACTAGGGGCCATGGTTTTCCAATCAAGCATCTGAACATACTTGATCCTCTGAAAGACAACAACAACCTAGGGCGCTGTGTTAGCAAAGGTATTTTAACTATTTTCAGGCATTAAACTGGTTCAGTTGATCCTTTTCCAACTTGAAGCCCTGGGCTGAAAGGGTGTCATGCTTGCAATATCTCAAGAAGCATTAGGAAAGCTAGAATCCTTTCTTTCTATCTGTCTTTAAACTTCCCATCAAAATCTAAAAATAGAAGTAAAGCACTCTGTGCTGATTAAATGAGATGTTGACTAAAATGTAGAGTTTTGGGAAAAATTTTCTTTTCAAGATATCAAAAAAATATGTACTTTTTTTGAGAGAAATAGTATAAAGAGCTTGTTTTTAAAATCTCTCTTACACATATTTGCTACAAGAAAGGTAGATTTCATTATTTGATCACAATTTTGGAGGATGCACTTTGGTTTAAATTCACCCAATCAATTTCTCTCCAGGTAATTACCATCGCATTAAATGTGCTCTTTCCTATGGGGCTAAAAGTCTTCTGGAGATCCTCACACTACCCGGTGAAAGTATGGGTATGGGACTTGAAAAGTTCTTTGTGAATACCTTGAATAGGAATGGAAGGGGAGAGAGGCAAGATGTACAAATTCCTGTTCCTGCCTTTGGCACAGGAAGATCTGAAGCATCTGATCTCAGTGGAGACTATGACAGTTACTACCATAGTCTGCTTTATGGGCAGTGGTATCACAATTATACCCTGTTTCTTTCTTCCCAGTCCAGTCCTCTATCATCACCTTCTAGGAGTCATAAGAAAAGTGCATGGGATGCTCTGCGTCAGTTGGTACGATCCAGGAGGAACTTTTTCTATGGAAAACGTGGGGATGTAGTTTTTCCAAGCCCATCATTGTGTCATCCTTATGCTCCCCAAGTACCTACAACTACTTTTGGTATTGGTGAAATGGAGAAGTCAAGAGGAACAGGCACTTACATCCCTAAAATGGTATGTTTCTGTTTATTAGATCTTAGATTTTCTTGTTTTTTAACTGGAAAATTAAATGTTGTCAAGCCTAAGCAAGATGGCTGAATGTGATTTATCAAAATGATAATGTTTTTACAATGCAGACCCAGGTCTATCGATCTTACAGAGACATGCATGCTTGGCCAAGGGGGATGAAACCAGAATCGTCAAATTGTGAGCTGTTGATGAAGTCGCCAGAAAAGAGCAACAAGGTTAAAGATTCCCTGGGAAAAAAGAATGCTGGAAATGGCAGCTGTGTTTGGACTGTTGACCTTTCCCCGGAGCAATTTCCACATTTGCCAACCATAAAAAAACCGATGACAATGAGAATGAGATCACATCATTGTAGTCAGCCCACAGTGAACACTCAACAGGAAGAGAGTTCCAGTTCCTCCCAACCCTCATATCATGGTATAAAGTTCGGGACTTATGAGCCTTCACTACCAATAAAGCGACCTGATGCTGGGTTCTCAGCCACAACATTGTTAATGATGGGCATCCCAACAATAGAATTGCCAGAGCAGGAAGGATTATCAGAAAGCGATGAAGAAAGGCAAGGCATTCTCTCTTATTCTGTCATGGTTTCAAAGCATGAAAGACACTCAAATTCTTTGTTTCTGGCTTGGAACTGCAGGGTTGTTGTCAAACTCAAACCATTCGAACTGAAAGATGATGGTGACTTCCCTCCCTTATGCATGTGAATGTTGTTTTACAGAAAGGCTGCAAGTCAGCCGAAAGAAAAGTCACAACTCCCAACATCAAAGCTTCCTCTGCTACCAGGAGGTTGCCCTGATACAATTTGAATTTTAAACCCCTGCCATATGTAGGCATTAGAAACAACTATTTTTTTTTTTTTAACTATTTTCTGCCCTTGTGAAATGATTCATAAAGGCGTGCCAACAATGAGGTAGTGTCTCCCTGCAATCTCATTTTCCATGATTTCTTGTATCTTTTATATGCATTTGTAAGGTCAAAGAGGCGATCCTTCGGCCAAGCTCAGATTTTTGGATATTTTTCACAAGCAGGTAACCTTATATTGTTTATGAACAGTATATAAATATTTCAATTTCTGCATCTCAGACCATGCCTCCCTTTTTTTTTTTGCCCAAATCCGCAAGGCATCACGTTAAACGTGGTAGAAGAAAAAAAGGTTTAGATTTTGAGTGGGGGGTTTCAAACTTTCTTTTTTATAAAAATTAATAAAGAAATGAAAGAGGAGAGAAGGGGAAGAGAAGGGAGGAGAAGGGAGGAGAAGTGAAAGGAAAGAAAAAATTGATGTTAGTTTTGTTTAGATTAATAAAAATAAAAGAGAGAAAATTATAATATTTTTATTTAATTAAATAAATTTTAAAAAAGTAAAATAAAAAATAAATTTTTTTAATTTTATTAATTAAATAAATAATTAAAATAAAATATTTATATTTATTTATTTTAAAAAAATAAAAAAAATTAAGTAAATCAATATAATTTATCATAATTTCTTTAAATTAAAAGAATTGAAAATAAAAGACAAAAGATTCTAACTGCCTCTCTTCTCATTCAAATTGTTAAATCAAATAAGAAAAAGGCACCTCTGGCCTCTCCCTTTCTTCCTTCGCTCCTCGTCCAACTTCCCTGATCCGAAAGAAGCTTCCTTTAACTTTACTTTTTATTTCTTTTATTATTTTGACTTATTCAAATAAAGAAAGGAGAACAGAAGAAAATGGATGGATTTCCCATCCTTCCATTTGCCTCCCCTTCCATCAAATCAACATACTCTTAGTCTGAGTAATCAATCGTGGTACCAGGTCAAAGTTTCAATGGCAAACAACCACATATTTTCAAGCCTCAACAACGCACAAGTAAACTCCACTTTGTTGCTTATTACTCCTGGCATAAATGGGTACCCACACAACAGTTCTTCAAATATTTACAACACAGTAAGTGACGCAACAAGCATGGGCCATCAGTGCCTATTTATTTCCACAATGACAATTTAACAGTAAATTTTCTTTTGTCAGCATTTAACGGTCAACATTGACGCTGCAACATACAAAAGGCAGAAGCTATCAATGTTGATGAGCTACCAGAATGAAACTAAACTATTCGTCTGAGACCCTGCCTGCCTGCGGAGTGAAAATATACATGTGACAGTCATGTGCATCGACTTCAGCATTAAAAGATGCCACCACATTTCTATCCAGTGTTTTGTGCTGCAACAAATAAGCATACATATACGAGTGAGAAACTTGAATCAAGACAAGCACAAGTCAGAAAGAGCTAACTTTGGCATTACTAGAACATTTTTTTACCCCCATTTATTAAGGAGATTCATCAAAAGTTAACCAATAAGGTGTTTCCTGCATTTAAACAATTATAAGTTCTATGTGCACTCAAGGCCACTATGCTGTACTTGGGCAAGCTCATTTAACTTGAGGTTACCCTTTAAAAATGTCAAATCTCAGAAGGCCAAACAACCACGTGCCTCCTGAATTGAAAAAAACGCTAGAGAATGTTGTGAAATGTAACTCATAAAAATATTGCATACAGTTGGGGCCAACAGAAATCTATCAGGTGTGATTTTTTTTTCAAAAAAAGTGTTGTGCAGTTCATATCATACAGGCCTGCACAAACACTTACCATTGGTTGGGGGGAAGGTCCCCTGATATTGGGGGCTGTCCCACCATCCAACGATCCTTGTTTTATAGTCCAGTGCAGTACAGAATGCAAAACAGGGAACTCTTTATTTTTTTCTCTTTCAAAATCAACCATATATATCTTAGGCTTTCACTAAGTATATAACTCTGCCTAAAATTACACCAAGTATTCAGTTTCATCACCTGCCACAGATCTCTTACTGAGACACTGGTACTGGATTCAAGTCCAAGTGCTTCCCATGGAGCTGTTACAGTTGCAGCTTCTGAACATCGATTCCAGAGAACAACTGCCAAACGATGCTCGGACAAGGGACCTGCCCAAACCTGGAAAATAAGTCATTACCTAGATGTTAGAAGAATGCTACTGATAATCAGTGCCTGTAGTAACTTATCATCCTAATACTTGGTACACCACAATTCAGTGGTTTCCTTCTCTATTTTGTACCAATTGCTTGCCGCATGAAAAGAGAAGGAATAATAATATTAGACCCTGTTAATGAAACCAGCGTTTGAAGGTTGTGAACTGGTGGTGGTAGTTCTCCATTTCCAATAAAGCAATATTTAAAATAGAATAAATCAAAATTATTGTGTAAAGCTTAAATGTAAAGTTCCCATAGTGTGGGCTGAAACAACATAAAACAAGCCAAAGATCATTACCTGAAGGCAGTTATCTGGTCCTTCAACATAGACTTTCCTTCCCTGAACCCCTAGTGGGTCTGCAAAAGAATCAAGAAGCATGTCTTTAGTCTATCTGATATAATAATAAACTAAAACAAAAAGAAAATAAAACTAATATTCATGAAAAGGAGTGTCATCATTCTTAAGCAAGTCAAATCAGAAAGGGTCAACAGTGAGGGGAATGGGGAGAAGGAAGGGAGAAAATGAGGAGTTTCACCTTGGTTTACAGCAATGACCTCCTTATTGCTTATAATCTCAAATGTTTCAGCAGTAATGTTTCTTACATCACAACCAACTAAAAGAGGAGCCTGCAAATAAAGCCAAAAATTTTGAAGTTAATACTAGCAGATTGTCAGAAGGTAATAGGTATTATATATGTTCTATACTATCAACTAAGCAACACTATAACCTTTTTTCTTTTTGGGGGGGAAGGTGTGGATATAACTAAAGCAAAGTTGACTAGCATTACATGCATACTTAAGACCACAAAGATAAATACAATTGTACCATGTTCATGTATTGAGTGAGACCTACTAAATGAAATATTTAAGGCTCAGGACAGGGTTAGGTGCTTGATCTTAACATGGGAGAGAAAGGTCATTATCAAGAATTGCTAAACAGGATGATTCTGGCCAAAACCACAGCCAAGAGAAAAAGATTGTCAATAATTTGCATTTATATTAACAGATGACAAGGAAGAAAGACATGGAGGCAGAGGATGAACCTTCATCAAAGCCCAGATGCTAAAATGAGAACGATACTCCTGATGAGTCATGCCACCATTTCCAACTTCCAGCATATCTGGATCTGCTCAGAAAGGAATAGCTGGTGAATTTAATAGCACAGCTCAACAGAAGAATTTCCATTTCCAGGCACCTAGGCATAAATGTTATAAAAATCTACAATCTTACCATTCCATCCACCAGGTCCCGCATATGCAGCCCACTTGTCATTCAGATCAGCAATTGTAGTCATGCTTAACAAAAACAAGCCACAGAAAACATTCGATCACGTACAAGAATTAAGTATCAGCAAAGTGTTAAATCTTTTGTCTTATGAACCAGACAGCAAAGTTCATGCATCATGTATTAGAATATTAAATCAAACCAGTTTGGTATCTCATGATTTTCCAAGTACAGGAAAAAGTCAAGGCAATACTTTCCATAATAGCACTGTAAGAAAAGTGAAACCTAGTGCTAAAGAGAGCGCTTGGCTTGGTGCAGTTAAATTTGATTGGGGGGGTTGATGTTCAACCACATGCAACTGAAAGTCAGCTGAGGATGGTATGTGCATGCTGGACAATGCTACAATATAAATGTAGTCATTGCACAACCCAAGTATAAAAAGGATCTAGAATGCTAACCTTACCCATGTATCATTGATGTCACCAGTTGTTCGCCAGCTGTTTCCGACTCCACGTGCCCATAAGGCAGGGTCTTCAACACCCCTGTTGAAACCAAAGATAAAAGAGGCCATGGACCAGAGTTAATTTCCGGATTTAGCAAGCTCAAATGGGGAAAAGCAAAAGCAAATAAAAGATAGATCAAGAAACTGAATTACCATTCACAGAGGGAATAGAAAATTGTTCGTCCAGTTGCGTTCAGTGCATCCCGCATTGGAGGATATCTTGAAATTATGGAACACATCAAATCATCATCAACATAGGAAATAATGATTCAATTAAAACAAGAAAGAGAAGTTTCACCTTTCTTTCGGATCAATATCCAGATTGAAACAGTTATCATATTTCAAATAATCCAGATCCTGTAACACAATGTTAAAAGCTTTAAGTACAGAGAAAGTATCACATAAACTAATGCATGCTAATTACTGCTCTGCAATTTTGAGGTAATGTTTGATTATAAATGTCATTAAGATACATAGTTCATCCAATTTTAGTTCAAACTTCATAGTATTTAACTATTTATAAGACAGTTAATCTTCTAACAATGAATATATAACTCTTTACTGTTAGAAGTAACAAACTATTTGTCTTGTCAAAGCTTCACTCTCTCGAAATATGGATGTATATCTTTGTAAACCTCTCAGAATGCATTGCAATTTGCAAGCTAATTATACCACAAGATGTTGAGGAACTCTACAAGCAAATGAATATCTATTGGATAAGACCTCTAACCAATGTCAGGGATAAGATAATGGGAACTAACCCAAGAAGCAAACTGCTGTGCATCATCCTTTTCGTGGAAAAGCGATCCAGGTCGAACTTGACATGTAAACAACCTAGAAAAAGTAGTTAGGTTGATCAGAAAAGCCAAAGTTTAGCACAATTAATGCAAAACATAATCATTCCATCACGAATCTAATTTCAATGCCTTTGCCCATCATACCCAGCATCAGAATAAATGCCAAGCTTCAGGCCTTTGCCATGAACATAATCAGCAAGAGCTTTAATTCCTGAAGGAAAAGTCTTTGGATCGGGGACTAGTTCACCCTGAACAATTAAAGAAGCCACAGTTGAGAGTTTAGGCAAAGCAGGTGGTTGTCAATCAACAAAAGCTAATGAAGATTCTGTTCTCTTAAAAGAGTAATAGAAGTGGCATTTCTAATGGGCCAGGGCAAGCCAAGCCAAAAGAAATTAAGCAAAATGATTTTAAAAAGTGAAAGGATCAAACTAACCTTTGAATTTCTAGTTACACTAGACCAGCAATCATCTGCACCCAATTAAAATGGATAAGGCTAAAACATATCAAAGTCTGAAAGTAGAACACAAGGCAGGAGAATACCTATATTGACATACACATAACCTAGATCAGCCAAGCCTGTTGAGATAAGTGCATCCGCTGCCAATGGTAAAATGAAATGTTTGTTAGCATTTTCCAATGGGCTTGAATCAAGTGAAAAGGGAATAATTTAGTTCTTAGACAGACTCAATAAACTGGAGATGCAATTAGTAGAATGATGTCTGAATTTTGACAAGCTGGTCAGCAAGAGCCAAAGAGAATGAACGTCCAGAATTAAGTGTGCATTTCCTACGGTGTTAGGTTACGTTAACCGAATGGGAAAGCTGTTGGTTATGGTGGGAGACATTATGAACTAACATAAAACTGTAAGCAGTTGATGTAAAGGTCATCCATTTTGTATGTTTATGTGGGTAAATAAAAATGGATGTTTATTAGTGAATTATCTTATTCATAATGGATCACTAATCCCCAAATAAACAGAATTAACAGTGAGAATTTTAAAATGAAAATGAAACAACACCTGTTTCCTTGATGACCACTTCTGATATATTGCAACCAAAAAAATTCCAGCTATTCCATCTGTAAGCAATTAAGACATGTATATTACATAAGAAACCCCCGGTGATGAGCAAAATGAAACAGAAATACAACCCCAATTTCTCTATTCTATGAAAAGGAAGAGAGAAAACAAATCGTTCACAATTAAAACGTGATAAAGAGAGGGAGAGAGAGAGAGAGAGAGACGAACCCCATCTGGGGAGTTTGACCCAAGCCGTTGTTGAGTTGCAGATTCCCATATTTGGAAGTATCATAAATGGTGTTGAATAAATTGGAAAACCCAACACCCAAACCAGAACTGGGTGTCTGATGATATCTCTGGAAGTCCAAGAGAGGAACCTCTCTCCCTGTAGCTATCACCGGATCGATCATCCACACATAAAGAATGGCAAAACACAAACCGCAAAGTCTCTTACTTTCCCCCATCCCCAACAATCCCTTCACTCCCCTCTAGTTTCTCCTTCTGCCAAAATAAACTACAATAGTTCTTTCTTTTTCTTTTTTTTTCTTTTTTTTTGTATTTATCAGCGTCGGCCGATGGAGTACAATAGTTAAATGGTCAATTAGGATAAGAGCATAAGACTACAAAGATACGTTGCTTCTATCCATCAACTTCCATCTTCAACTTCCATATTCAACATGAGACAGATCAGCTGAAGATTAGTATACTGCTGTCCCAAACACAATTCCTAATTTTATTTATTTATTAAGAAAAAAAAAAAAAAAA